ATATATATGCATTCAACACAGACCTGTTGTTGGTTGCTCCATCTTATATCCCTGATATTCAGGATATTGCATGACTAGCATGAGTTGCTGATTTTCTGGTCTGGCTGGGCCATATTAGAAATTATTGAAATATGAAAATGATGGGACTGTTTTTACTCTGAAATACTTGTGCATTCCCTCTCACGTTTTTTTCTTTTTTTTTTTGGTTCAACTACACAGGTTGTTTGTTTAGAATTTTTAACCGTAGCAGGAAAAGCTATTTGTACACTGTGGACCTGGATTACTTTAATAGATTTATTCTCCCCAGGTTAAGTTCCATACTGCCAACAATGTTCAGCCTGTGTTTCTCCAATTATAAGCAGAAATTTGATATTGTATGGAGAAGAAATACAAACGTTGTTCAGAATCCCATTTTAACTTTTTGAAATTTCAGTAAGTGCTATTTTTAAATAAGTGCAATTTTATTTTGAGACAGACTTTCCATGTTTAAAGCACCCAAATTTAACATGTAGCCTAACATAGCATGCCATAATCAGTTACTTTTTGGATATAACCAGGCTGGTTGCTGTTTTTCGTGTTGGTGCTTTTTCCTTTTTTTGTGAAAGTGAATAAAACTACATATTTGTGTAAAATGTGCTTTTAGTTTTGTTTTGAGCAAGATTATAATCGATTAAAAGTTATTTAAGTCCTTACATTTAAATCAAAACATTAGAGTTGCATGTGTCCTGATGATACTTAGCGGCTGATGTTTTTCTGAGTTTGCAGAAGCCCGATAGCAAAGCTTGCCCTCGGTTAACTGAGCAAAGCACGGGGCACGCAGCACAAAATGCAGTGCAGCCATTTAAGAGCAGCACGCTCCTGTGAAGTCTACAGACAGCATCATATTGGGTTTCAAACATTTTAAAGTAGGAAAACTACATTTTGCTCGATCAGTAATGGATCAGAYTTCTCTTCTTTAAGTCGGTTAGTGTGGAACTTATTGCAAATCTTAAATTCTGACTGCAATAATGCCTTTTTTAACTCCATGAGCAACAACAGTTAGTGGACATTGTTTCTGTAAGATTTCCAGTTAAAACAAACTAGTAATGTTCTGTTGCTCTTGTTCACAAAGAAGAGAATCTGTGACTTTAAAATGAAGATTCCCTTTATGGTGCTGCCCATATGATCACAGGTGAGTATAAAAAGATGGCTCTGACATACCATTGTTTCCTTCATTGTCACTTATTCCTTTACCATCTGGCCTGCCTTTTAGGCCTTGTCCATTATCATCAAATCCCACTTCAAGCGGAATATCCGCACTCCCGCTATCATCATTCTTACCACACAAGCTTTCCCTAAATTTGGAAGTCAGCTTCTCWATGACCCCATAGGTCTCCACATAGAAGACGTGGTCATCGTGCGGTTGGCTGGCCATGAGCTGGAGGGACGTCATGTCGGCTCTGTCTACGCCCACAGCGTAAATCTCAATCCCAGACGCTCGGGCTGCTGCTGACACTTCCTCCACGTTGTCCTGGGGCCTCCCATCGGTCACTATAATGGCGACTTTGGCTACGTTCATGGAGGCAGTGCGGGCCCCGGCTTCTTTGATGAAGGKTTTCTCCATGGCGGTCTTGATGGCCACGCCCGTCATGGTGCCCGAAGCTAGGGGCTCGACACGGGKCAGTGCCTGCTTTAGGGATGACTTGTCGAAATAAGTGTTGAGCAGAAACTCTAACTTGACTGTGCTGGCATAATTAACCAGGCCGACACGGGTGGCATCGGAGCCGATGTCCAAACTTCCCACCATAGCCTGCAGGAACTCCTTGGCTTTTTCAAACTCGGCAGGCCGTACYCTGCGGGAGCTGTCTATGATGAAAACCAGGTCAATCAGCCGGTTTCTGCAGTTGGATGTTGTTGCTGTAAATATAGAAAAATAGAAAGTCATTTTTTCTGTTAAACTGGATTTTAAAGTAAAAAATGTTGCACCCTACAAAATTAAACTAAAGAATGGTGGCACAACTAAAACACCTTGTAAATAAATCGTTTCAATTAGCTTTTTTTTGTGTTCATGTCATTCTTTCTCAATGATCATACTTTAACTTGTTTTTAGTTTGACTGTGTTCATATAATCTAATTTTGCTGACCTGGATGTTGTAAATGGTTTATTAACAATTTTGCAAAGAATTTTTAGAGTTTATATGTATATCCAGTGGATAATAAATCAATATTTAGACTGTTAAAGGGGCAAAATTTTGAATTTCTATCTTTCTGACTTTATCGAGAGTAAATTTGCAACATRATTTTATAAAAATATAAACCAGGAAATCTAAACTCAGGAAAATTGAGAACAAACTAAAAACTATTAACCAAGCCYCAGACATTCTTTATATAAGTATTTAGAGAGTTTAAGYGGTTTTGTTTTAAAGTTTCAACAATGTGCTTTTTGAGGGTTCACCTGGTGCATCTCCAGCAGGCTGCCAGGATCCAGATGGTGAGATCTGCTGCTGATAAGACTCGTGCAAAAAGGAGTTTGTGCCACCAACTTAGCAAAAACAGAGACAGCATGAGGTAAGAAAAAATTTGGAAGAATGACAGCATTTTAGTTTTAACTTTGTTTGTAATAAATATTGAACTGCATTGGATGAGTTTTTATGACGCAAAACTGACTCATAAAGCATTGCGGTTGAGTGCATGTGAACGTCAAAACCCCCGCATCCACCAACCAAAGCTACCAACCAACCTTCACCTGACCCTCCGCGTCCACTGGAACGTGCGCGCGCGCCCAGGCGCTCCTGGTAGTCTGGTGCCGCGAAATCACCTCGTCGAACCCCACTGTGCACCTCGGAAAAACTCTGCTCCATGGATCCGAAGTCATTAGAGCCCCCGTAGACCGGAGGAAGGCCCTGAGGAGACCCTCCTGAGAGGGTCTGCCGGCGCTGTGATCGAAGCTGCGGGTGGGATCCCAGAGAGCCCGCCGACAGGATGCCCGTGAAGACCACCAGCTTCCATATTAACGAAGTCATTTCGCCTGCGCCTGGTTTATACACCCCTGGTTGTCTGCCCTGTATTTATCTGCTTCACGACCCCCCCCCTGCCCACTAGGCGGGGAAAGCAGGGCTCCAATCAGGACGCATGAGTCTCAGT